CTCAATTGCAGCTATATCAGACACTCACTTACCATTGCAGGGAGCAAGTTTACAAACCCTCGTTGACTCAGGTTTTTCTCCATTGCACTGGTCACCAGCCCGACATATGATCTGCCTGGTTTCAGTTCCTTCCCCACAGGTCACAGAGCACTACAGGACAGACAAGGTGTTTTACTGTAATGGTCTGGGTTCACAGCAATGTGTGACATGTTGCATGTACTGTTACAAAGCCTATGGAGTCAAAAATAACCCAGTTTTGCTGACTTCCGATGCATGCAGCAAATTCCATCCTTTTATTTGCTTTTCGGGGGGGCTGAGTTTGCCTGAGGGATAGTCTTGAAGGCAGGACTTTCTCTTCACTACTTCCAATATTTCTTGTTGATTCAGTGCATGGATTTTGCTATGTACTGGGCTATTTACTGCTGCCCCAGAAACAGAAAGGGTCATATTAAGACTCTTGGAGAGGATGGATATTGCTGCTCTGATTTGACCTTTCTTTGGGGGTAACAGTTTGCCCTGACCCATTACCTGGTTCAGCTTGCTTCCCTTTCAGTGCTGGGTACTGCACTGCAGATGGGGGTGGGAGGAGAGACACAGCTCCCACAACTTACTAGTACCTAATGGAGGAGCAGCAGCTCCCACAAAGGTTGCTTTATGTATCTATGGCCCCCTCTACCTATGCAGATAAAGGCATGATTGCACTTAATGCATGATCCCCACAATTGTGCATCCTGCCATGCTATACGTGCATGGCAGGTTGCATAATTGTGGGATCACGCTTTGAATCCAATCATGCCTTACTGCCAGTGCAGGGACAGCCCAATCCTGGCCTCCTCCTACATTGGCAAGAAGCAGGCCCCCATGGCTGGGAGCCCTCTTTGCTGAGGGGGCTCCCAGCTACAGGGGGCATGAACAACCGGGACTGAGAGTCCTGTACCTGATGGGGCTCTTGGTCACAGCTACGTAGGTTTCATGCACCCCCAAGCCTTGTGGGTTGTGGCAGCCATGATCTCCAGGGTTGGGGGATTTCAGGCTGGGCATAGCGCACTCTGTGGCTGGGAGCACTGTCAGCTGACAGGGCACCCAGCCTCAGAGAAGACCTTGCTACATGTGCAAATTAAAGCTTGACAACAACCAGCTATAAAGTTAGTACACATTTTCAAGGTCTAACATTATAGCTGGTTGAAGCTTTTTATTGTGACAGCTACTTTGTATGTATAGCTCATCTTAAGGGAATTGTGCAATTAACCAGTTAATTGTGTGATACCTGTAATGTGTAGAGGGGGCCTGTGATAAATGGTCTCCACTGACTGTGGTGTCTGAGCTCCTCACAATTCTTTGAATGTATTGATTCTCATAACATCACTAATATTCCCATTTTACAGATGGAAATTGACATCTCAAATTTTTTACATTTTTGCATTAATTTTTGGAGAAATGTGAAGAGCCCTTTCCTCTTCTTGGACCAGAGATGTCATGACAAAGTGCATCCAGGTCACTGTGATAATTTTTAAATCTTTGAAATGCTATAAGATGCAGTCAGAGACCTTTAATCCAAATACAGCATTTGCACCACAGATATATGGCACCAGCAAAATATACACCTATTTATTTATTGCCATGGAAATGTCTGTCTGCTCTAAAACATGTAGAGATGATAACATAATTCTGCCTTCCCACCTCAGACCAGGGTCCAGCTTTCCACTGTGAAGGGCAGAGGATCCTGTTACATGGCCTGCGGCTCTCAGGGCGATCTCCACTACAGTACTTGAAATGAATAGAACGATTTGCACCATCATGAAGAGGTTGAATACAGCGCACAGTACGGATCTGGTAACCAGAACTCCCACAGGTCTTTGTACAGTATTCCCAATCTTCTGCTACCCAGCTGCATTGTTTAAATATGAAATAGTCATAGTATGGTTAGTCTGTTCATCCATAGAACTGTCTACTAACAAAATAAATGACTACAAATTCAGGTTAAAATAAAAACACCTGCTTTTTACAGCACTCAATAGAAAAAGCAGTGTTTTTCACCACCATTACAAATGATTGAGATCATCAAAAATCTGATGAAAGAAAAGTCATATTCAATATATGTAATTTGTAATACAGGGCTAGGGACAGACATTACACATAAAATAGTGCAAGTGATCAGAAACTGGTTAACCCTGTAACAGAACATAAGTTCAGTGCACATAAGCTAGTTTCAAAATGACTGAAACTGGTTTAAAATAAACCTGGTTGAATGCAGCATCAGACCTAACTGATTTGGGTCAAACTGGTTTATGCAAAGTCTGTTCCAGACTCCTTCCTCGTTTAAGTTAAATCAGAGTCCCTCAGCACCTCAGATGCTTTGCAGCTGGGCTGGGCTAGGTTGTGCTCTCTGCTCCAAAGAACAGGCAGGCTCCACCCCTCTTCCCCCTAGGCAGAGCTCCAGGGGAGACTGAAGGCACAGCAGGGTCTGCCTGGCTTCTCTTGCTGCTTGCTGCTCAAGCAGGGATTCCCCACTCTCTCCCTCCCATCTCCCATAGCCCCACGGACCGTAGGCATGTGGTATGTTAGCTAATGCTGAGCGGTGTCTGTGTCTTCAGTTTAACTGGGACAGACAGACAGAACAGTGTCCACTTAGGGCCTTTTGGAGCTAATCAACAAGGCAGCTGGTAATGTCCTTCCCTTTCTTCCTTGGAAAAAGCTGTTTAAGAAGAGCTTGAACTAATGCGAGAGTCTTTGTTTTGCTGATGGGTTGATAACACTGTGGTTTTATCAATCCCCCTACTGGTTTGCAGCCCTGTCAGGTTTGCAGACAGATTTTAAGACAGGGAGAGGCAGATTAAAAAACTCAGTATCATCAACAGATGCATGCACTGCATATCCCCTCTTTGCCTCAGAGTGTTAGCTTGGGGCTGAGGACTGGCAGGCTTGAGTAGCAAGCAGGGGAAAGCATGAGACGGCGCAGGCAAGGTTGGGGTTTAAACCCCTCCCTAAGCAGAGCATCCTGCCCAGGCCTGGCCACGCCCCTCCCCAGCTCAGCACCTCGCAAGGGAAGGGAGGGCTGCTCTAGTGCCCCCCCTTCT